GTAAGATTAGAAGAGGTTCAAACCTATTTTTTAAAAGTTGTGTTCTCTAAACTGTGAAGGAAAATTTTGACACTATCCACCCAACAAGGAGGCTTAATAAATAGGGGGGGGAAAAAACAGGTGGGAAAACTTAGACTTGTTAAAAACAGTTTTCAGAATTGTGCTTGGGTTATCACAATTTAAGTCAAAGTATGTGTTATTCATGTTAATAGTGCCCCATGGAATAGAATCTGAATAAGGCAGGACTGACTTATATCTAGGTCTAGAACAACATTAAAGTAAGATTCTGGCAGAGTAAGTGTTTGCCTTTGGGCCTGACCCCAAGAAACCATATCCATCCATTCATTCATTTCTTGGTTCTCTGGCGAGAGTACCATGGAAGCATGTGGGGCTCCTCTGCTGGTGGAGCTGCCAGCAGGTACCCTGACCCCACTGCCACCGCTGCTTCCATCTGGGACAGACTCCCAGCACTTGACTTGGGGAGGAGATTTTAGAAGGAAGTGAGAGTCAGGTCTTGTGGAGTATAAGGACACAAATGAGGGTATCGTATATCTAATAACAGTGAACAGTTCATGTTGGTAATCTAAGCAGCCCTGCGCAGTATGTTATCATCCCTGGTTTATGGACTCATGGCATTATCTGAGACTTAAGATTGCAGTTTTCCTGCCTAGTGCTTTGTACCTAAAATGAGCTTTGTAACCCCACAACAGCTATCTCAGAGACTGAAAGGAAGCCCTCCTGAGCATTTTGAACTATTTAATCACATTGTGGCTTAAAAAAAATGACATCACAACTGTTTCCACCATTCCCCATTTGGTTTAAGCAGCAATAATAACAACATAGCAAATTAGTAGGAAACTGTGGCACAGAAGATTAACTTGCCCAAGGTCACACAGCAAAGTGTGGCACCAAAATTTGAACCCGCATATTCAATTTATGAACTCCTACTCTGAAACACTCATATCTCACCTTCCAACAGGAAGGGATCTCACTCACAACAGCTCTGTCACTTATTAGGTATTCCTTTCCCAAGATGCCTTGTCACAAGTGCACATGACATCCATCACACCCTCACCGAACTCGTTCTTCCCTGCACCATCACCCTCCCTTCTCCAAGCTCGGTAAACCACCCAAGTATCAGCAACGTGGGACTAGAACTCAGGAGACCTTGGTTCTAGCTCAAGTGTGAACTGGGTGACCCTGTGTAGGTCACTTTACCTCTAGGAGATCCGTTTTCTTTATCTACAAAATAACACCCGTCCTTGTAACCTTTCTGCCAGTAAGATCAAATAACACAATGTGTGTGGAAATATTTACAATCCATAAGGAAGGAGTCATTGTTGGCAATTATTTTTATTGCACACAGCCCTTATCCCTGCCTCTCCCATTCCTTCCTTACTCACTGTGAGGACGCCATACGTTTGACTACCTTAGTATTTTGCAGAACACGAGCCCCTTTTCATGCCCATCCTTCTTTTTATTCACTGAGTAGACATACAATGGTCAGCAAGACAAAGATGACATAAATGTCATCAGAGATGACAAGACAGACATACAGTGGTGTGCGGTGGCCAGCTTGCACTGTCTCACTGATCTCTGCCCAGTTCCACATTCGGTGAAGCCACATTGATGGCTTGGCATTGGCAACAGTGGGAGCATTTACACCACGGAACTGGCACATGTTACCAGTCACCCTTCCTCTTTCCTCCAGAGAGCTGGTTGGTGAACATTTACCAGCACACCTCTGGATATTGGATATAGAAACAAAATACTAAAACGTCACAGGCGCTCGGGATGAGAAAGCACCGAGTAATCTGGAAACATACAGGGAGACACTTACCATAGTTATGCGGGGTGGGCAGAGGCACTCAGAGGTGTCCTGGAGGAAACGGGGTTTAAGCTGAGCCCTAAATAATGGGCAGTGCCAGCCAGGCAAAGAAGCAGGAGACGAGAGTTCCAGGTAGAGGTAACAGCAAAGACCTCAAGGGTCAGACAACTGAAGGCAGTTCCTTCAGGCTGTGGGCAAAGTGGGAGGGAGGAGAGGAGAAGAATGAAGCTGGAGAGGTAAGAAGTTCAACTTGACCCTGAAGATAATGGGTCAAACCAGTGGGCTTTGTGTAGGCATGGTCAAGATTGCAAGTGTGGGGTTCAGAGTCAGAGAGATGGCATTTGAATTCTGGCTTTTCCAGCTGGGTGACCTCAGCCAAGCCTCCTCTGTAAAATGGGAGTAATTATTGTACCACACCTCTTGGGTGGTTGTGAGTGCCCAGCCCATCAAAGCCACCTCAGAGGCATCCACGCACAGACTAGCTAACTGCAGAGCAGAAGTGCATATTCTGTAGGGCAGGGGCCGTGTCTTTCCTGCCCGAAAACACTAGTCTTCTGCTAATCTACATCAGCATTTTCCACGCTCTGGGTGGTGACCCATTAGTGAGTAGTGAAATCAACTTAGTTAGCCTTGGACAGAACTAAAAAAATCAAACAGAATAGAATTAAATAAAAAACAAGCTGGGTGTGGCTCACACCTGTAATCCCAGCAACTCGGGAGGCTGAGGCAGGAGGAATGCTTCAGGTCAGGAGTTCGAGACCAGCCTGAGCAATATAGCAAGGCTCCATCTCTACATCTCTATATTTTAAAAATCCATCGTATGTTGCAAGGGTGAGTTTTGTGCATGTGTGAACGGGGTTACCATGTAAAACTTATTCCTGAGGGCCATGGTTAAAAGTGTGAAAGCTTCAACAGGAACCTGTGGGCGCTCTCTGGGGGCTGGGAGAAGGGGAGGAGATGAGAGGGCCAGCAGGCCTCCCCCTACTCAGGAGCTGGAATGTCTCAGAGAGTTAGTCCTCTGGATTTCCAAGGCTTTTCAGCTTCCACTAACAACTGGTGTTCCCTGGGCCAGGTAGGAGCCCAGGTTTTGTCTGCCCTCCCAAAGCCAGGAAAGAGGGAAAGCCCCAGGCGTGGCCGGCCCCAAAGGCCATGGGGGGAGGAGGCTTTTCCAAGTAGGGGTGTGTGTGTGTTGGGGGAAGGGGTGTTGAGGACTCCCTGTACCCCTGCTTTCACTAACCCAGCCGGTGGGTCCATGCTAGGCAAGTCGCTGCCCACCACTTGGCACACGAAGGAACTGAGGACGTGAAGCTGCTTTTACTTTGGTGTATTCCAGAAAGATAATTCTACATGTGAATAGGTTTCAGAATAATTCACTTTCAACATATGTCAAAACATATCCAGTTTGCCCTTTGGAGTTGCAAACACTGTTGGCATTTCTTTTTCCTTTTCAATTTTTAAAAAAAGAAAGAAACAGCAGAGGCTTGGTCAGTGTTTGGCAGAAAAACAAGCACCCCATGACGGTTCAGCTCCCGGCTTTCCACAGGGCTCATTCCCCAGGCATATGCCACTGGCACTAGCTTAGCTGCTGACATCTATTGACAAAGGAATTAATCTCCACCAATGATGTTTTTTAAAGCCCATTCTTTACAGGAAGCTGTGACAGACATCAGGGCTCCTTCACTTTCCCCCTTTCCCCCTGATAAAAGTGACTAAAAATAACCTGTTAAACCCTTGATTCCACAGGGGAAGGTGCAGGAGCAAAAGAACAAAAGAACCTCTGGGGGAGGGCGCAGAGGAGGTGCTGGAGGATTTCTAGGGCAGGGAAATGCGGTGCGTGACACTGTGTGCGGACCGCGCCCTCGCACACCTGTTCAAGACCTAAGCTCACACAGCGCTGACGAGCCCTGAGGTGAGCTACGCCTCTGGGTGATGGCGGTGTCAACGTGGGTCATCCTGCAGCAAATGTGCCCCTGGGGGCAGGCTATGTGTGGGGGCAGGGACTCCGTGAGAAAGCTCTGTAGCTTCCTCTCAGTTTTGCTGTGAACCTAAAACTACTCTAAAAAATTAAAGTCTTCAATTTAAAAAATTAACTCAAACAAAAGTTGAATCTGTATTCATATAAAAAAGCAAAAAACACAAAGGAACATCTTTTCCCTGGCGCAGGAGTCGCATGCCCAGTTCAGGCTGCCACTGAAGCCACAGCCGCCACAGCCACCACGGGGCTGCCTCCCACGTGGGTTTGGGAGTGTGTGTCGGGGGAGGCGGGTGGTGGCAGCAGTGTGAGAGCAGACGTCCTGAACATGGCAGCTGTGTACTTGGTCAGAGACGACATCCTCATTAATGACCGGTAGGTCCCCAATTCCTGGCTTAAATGCCTTTTCCTGCTACGCTTCTCATCAAGACCATCATTTGGTGGAGGGAAAAGCAGGACTTACTTCCTACCTCAGGGAAACAACACAGAGCCAGGAATGCCCACTTCCGTTCCCCAGCAGTCGCTCGGGGGGGCCACCGCCAGCCTCTGTCGGTGTAGTCAGAGTTCCCTGGTCTGGTAATGCAGCTGTCCCTCGGCACATGCGGGGATGGGCTCCAGGACACCCGCCAGGACAACAAAATCTGCACATACTCTGGCCCCTGAAGTTGGCCCTCTGTATAAAGGTTTCGAATATTGTATTTTCATTCCGTGTTTCACTGGAAAAAATCCACATATAAGTGGACCTGCGCAGTTCAACCCTGTGTTGTTCAAGGGTCAACTGTGATTTCTCTTGAGCATCCACTGCATGTACCAGACTAGGACTTGTGTAGAAACGCACAAAGGAGCAGCGAAAACTACCCCTGATAACTCCCACACTCCATGGAGAAGCAGTATTTTGCAAGAAAGAATGAACTGAATGGAGGAACCAAGAGCTGACAGCAGCCTGAAGGTGCTGGCACTGGAGTCTGTCACCTGGAGTTCTGAATAAGGACCTGGGGCTAGGCCTGAGGGGGCTTATTTCTTAAGTCCCGTGGATTCCATCACGCCCGCGTCCCCTATGACGTGGTCGGCCGCAGAGACTCTGCTGACAGTTACAGAAAGGTTCGGGTGTGCAGGTGGAGACACACGACTGGGGACCAACAACTGCAGACGGAACCTCTGCACGCTGGTGCTGACGTCACACTGGAAAGAATGACTTACATGTGCACGTCTGGCAGGGTGAGCTGAGGAAAGCGACATGGTGAGAGCAGACTTGGACAGGCAGCACGTGTCCATGTGTCCTCGTGAGTGCACCTTTGTTGGCTCACAGAGGTGGAAGCCGGAGGGTGAACAAAGTGGGCCTGCAGAGAAGGGGGAGGATTTTCCCCATCATGAAGGAAAATCTTCCTTGGTAATCAATAAAGCTTATCATATAAGCATAAAACATTCTTTTCAGTAGAATTTTAACTTCATTAAAAGGAAATCCCAATGGTGGAAATACCTTAAAAGACATTGCTTAGAAGGCAAGCACAGTTATAAACGCATTCAAATCTAAATGCCAACTCCTACATGAACATATGCTAAAGAAAACAAGGTGCTAGCAAGCTAATAAATGACATGAAATCTCAAATTAATCCTCCTTACTGGATTTAATTATCCTGTTAAGCTGATTTCCCACTAAAGATCATAACACACAGATCATTTATTTTTTTTGAGACAAGAGTCTTACTCTGTTGCCCAGGCTAGAGTGCCATAGCATCAGCCTAGCTCACAGCGACCTCAAACTCATGGGCTCAAGCAATCCTTCTGCCTCAGCCTCCCGAGTAGCTGGGACTACAGACATGTGCCACCATGCCTGGCTAATTTTTTCTATATATTTGTAGTTGTCCAGCTCATTTCTTTCTATTTTTAGTAGATACGGGGTCTCACTCTTGCTCAGGCTGGTCTTAAACTCCCAACCTTGAGCGATCCTCCCACCTCGGCCTCCCAGAGTGCTAGGATTACAGGCGTGAGCCACCATGCCCGGCCCCACACAGATCATTTAAACCAAGAAAAATATGAGGATACCACAATTGCTGGTGTATCTATAAATAACATTTCTAGTGGTTCTGATGGAACAGGAAATATGGAATGTCTTCTAGGATAAAATGACAGATTACATTCCATACAGTGGGAGCCCTCGAAAGGTTGAGCTACCTACTGAAAAACCCTTTTATCTTTGCAGTCCTGGACCAGGGAGCTAGAAACCCAGCTATTAAAGGGAAATTCTCCATCTCTCTCCCGTCTGGCAACACAGCGTGCCATCGTGTGTGTACAGATTTTGTCTAACCAGCTAGGACCCCTTTTTTAAGATATGGCAAGAAGATCACAGAAGCTATATGTGATCCAAGCTACCTGTCTTGCTTCATCCAAGACCTCACCCTTGCCAATGTGGTGTACCCCAGGAGACCCCAGAATGAGACGCGTGGCAAGTGGTCTGGTGTTCCTTCACTTCCCTTCTGGCTGTCAAAGGAGTCCCAGAGTTCCCAGCATGATCGAGGGCAGATGTTGCTAGGGAGCTGGGATCAGAGAGGCAAAGGCGCCGACAGAGAACAGTTAGGCTGGGGATGGGCGATCTGAGAACGAAGTGGCTGGACCTTACAGAAATTTCTGGGACTTCAGGGAGGAAACAGAAATGACCAAGAAACAAGGGAAGGGAAAGGGAAAGGAGATAGCTTCTGCTCAGACCACCAAAAAATTGTTGTTATTCTTGATTATTTTCTTCCTCTCACTACTACCACCAAATTCATCAGAAAATCTAGTTGGCTTTACTTTCAAAACACATCTAGAATCTCACCACTTTCTCTACCTCCACTGCTTCCTGGTCCAAGCCTGCCGTCTCCTGCGTGGATCACGACAACGGCTTCCCAGTCTTCTGTCCCGTCTTTCCCCCATAGTCTGTTCTTCACAGAGCAGCTGTACTGATTCTTTCAAAAATGAAGTCATGTCCATCATCGCTCTGCTCAAAACCCTCCAATGGTTTCCCTTGGAATAAAAGCCACGGTCCTTACAGTGGCCTAAAGGGCCCTCCAAGTTCTAGCCCTTCCCCTGTGATCGCTCTGATTCTCTCTGCTCCACCCACACTGGCCTTCCGGCTGTGCCTTAGATACGTCTTTGCCCTAGCTGTTCCTTCTGCTTAAAATGCTTTCTTTCTGGTGCAGACACTTTTGAAAACTACCTAACAGTTCCTTAACAAGTTAAATATAGAGTTAATGACCTGGAAATTCTACTCCTAAGTATATACCCTAGAGAAGTGAAAATGTATGTTCCCACAAAAAACTTGTACCTGAATGTTCGCGGCAACATTGTTCATAATAGCCAAAAAGGAGACACAACCCAAATGTCCACCAACTGATGAATGGATAAACAAAATGTGGTGTACCCAACAATGACACATTATTCAGCCATAAAGGAATAAAGTACCAATACGTGCCACAACACAGATAAGCTTTGAAGGCATTATGTTAACTGAGAGAAGCCAGACACAAAACGCCAAATATTGCATGATTCCATTTCCATGAAATTTCTAGAATAGGCAAAGTCATAGTGACAAAATGCTGATTAATTGTTGTCAGGGGCTGGAGGGAAGGGGTAATTGGGAGTGACTGCTAATGGGTATAGGAGTTTGTTTGTTGGGGAGAGGCATGATAACGTTTTGAAATTAGATAGTGGTGGAGGTTGCACAACTTTGGAAATATACTAAAAACCACTGAATTGTACATTTTAAGAGAATGAATTTTGTGGTATGTGAATTATATCTCAATTTTACAACAGTTTTTCCCCTCTGCTGCCTGCCTGGATTACTGTTTTACCTCCCCCAAGGCCTTGCTCAATGAAAACTATAATCACCCTACTGTCCCCCCAGCTCTCCTGATCCCTCTTATCCTGCTGCATCTTTTAATTCACATAGTACGTATCATCTTCCAACATGATACATACTGTGTTTATTGTTATTTCCCCCCAATGAAATATAAGCTCCATGAATTCAAGTATTTTGGTTTGCTTCATCACTTAAGTAGCATAAATATCTAGAATAGTGCTTTATACATTAACAAATGTTGGTCAAATTAATAACACATATAGTATAATTGATATTGCAGAAGAATACTGAATCATATGGAATATTCATTTATTCTTAAATTTAAAAAATGGATTACCAAACAATATATAGTATGATTCCAAAATTGGTAAGAAATAGAAAATGTATTACACATAGAAAGTACATTAGGAGGATAAGATATATCAAAATACTCCCTGGGTGTTGGGATTACAGTTAGTTATTAATTTATTTCTTAAAAATGTGTTCATGTTTTCTAAACTCACAAGTTTTGTAATCAGGCAGATTTGAGATCTAATCTATGCTCCATTTCTTACTGGCTACGTAAGTCTAAGCAAGTTATTCAACCCCTGGTGACTCAGTTTCTTCATCTTTAAATGGGTATAATAATAGTACTAACCTCATTGGCCTCTAGAAGATCAAAGGAAATAATGAATGTAAAACACTTAGCACAGTGTTTGGCATATAGTAGGCACTCAGTAAAAAGTTGTCTTATTATTATCATTCCTTTATAATTACCATGGAGTTCAAAATGGTGGAATATAAATTGTACCACTTGCAGAATTTTTTTCATGAAATATTTTGAGACATACTTTCACCACGGCAACTTCCTTTGATTGAACAAGGAACTTGAGTGTACAGTCTCATCTTTGTTATTATACCTTTGTACACGCTCTCACCTCATTTTGAGCCCATTTATTTCTCTGCTGAGTTGTTCATGGGACTCATCTTTTCCCTGTTGATTTTAGGTGCTATTTGATGCATCCAGCCAAGAGTAAATTAGATGTACACAATAGCTCCGTCTATAAGGTACTGACCTTTAATGTTTCCATTTGAGTTCTTTGGGTATTTTTCTCCATTGTTCAGTGTTTCCTCTGTAGGTTTCTGAGTTTTGGCACAACTGTAATCTAGGCCCTCTACTCTCTAAGAGGGATATAGAAGTTACGAGAGAAACAGCTTAGACAGCAAGCTCTTGCATTTTCTTTGGTTAGACTCTCTTTATGGGAGTGGGAATCAGCATGGCAAAGGAACCTTAAATTTTTAAAAACCTCTTTTCAAAAATTATTATAAAAGTAGTGAATTTGGATGATAACTCAAATCTCCTCATTAAAGGAGGGTATAAGTGGCGGCGTAACATCTCCAGTTCATACACCAGCCCAAGGCCCAGGAACCTCTTGTGACAATTCTTGGTTTGAGATCTGCTGGTGGTGCTTCTACCTCTTCTCTTGGCTTACCAACTTTAAGTAGTATCTATTACCTTCCTCTTTTTCAAAACAAAATTAGAAACTTTGATCCCCTCCTTTTCTCAAATTTTGTTACGTTTTTTACCTTTAAGTTCTTTGCTCACTTTATAACTTTCAATAATATGCCTCAACATTTATTTCTTAATTCATCAAGGTAGGGCAGTATCTCTTAACCACTCTCAATTGTATAAACTGAGGAAACTGGCACTATTTCACTTCCTTTCATTGCTTCTTCATCACCTAAATTCTCTCAGCCATATCATTAATTTTGCATTCTTAGGATTTATATTAATAACCTGAATTATCTATATTCTTGTCTTCAACATATTCTCTAGAAATAAATTCTAGAAAATGAAAATTAAGAAATAACCTATCAATATTATGATTCTATAGATATTATTCACTTCAGCACCAAGTAGTGTGATTGGACCCTGGGAGAAGCAGAGGCTGGGTCCCTTAATGGTGTTGCTTGAAGGAGAATGCTCTAAGCTTTAAAAGTAAAGCTTTTTTATTTTAGTATATTCCACCAGCTGCTCAAAATCAAGACACATTTGCATTTGCTTTGTAGTTGGACTACTATTTCTTATGAAGGTTTTTGTTTTTTCCTGACAGTTCTAATTAACTTTTTTTACTCATTGACAGAAGTAGCATATTATTTCACTTTAATTCTAAAATCATACAGCTAATCAAATAATTACACAAATTCCTTATTCTTCTTGAAGACGTGCTTCCTGTTGCTTTCAGACTTCATGTTGTATTTCAGACATACTGTTTTCTAAACCTGCCAATACCCTGGGATTTATTTTAATTGTGTTCTTTGAGATTAAGATCAATATTTTCTTGAATGATGTTTCCTGTCTCTTTTGGGTGTCCTGCTTTCTTTGCTAGAGAACATTCTCAAACAATGTTTTTGTCCAGAAATCTTTATTCCAAAGATTTCAAAAAATCTTCAGTCTGCCTTTATATTGATAAATACCTTAATGGTATATAACTTCTAGGTTTAAAACATTTTCCCTCAGAA